CCCCTATTGTTTAAGCGACAATAAATAACCACTTCTCGTTGTATGCACATTCTTTGTGTGTTTTAAGGGAGGAGTCTACATTTTCCAACTCTTTGATTACTACCTCGGAAGTCGTATTATTCTCCTCGTTGCAATGTTTGAATGCATTGTCATTGGGTTTGTATTTGGTAAGTTTTAGTAATGGTAACAATTAAACTTAAATTCTAATGAGAGCTCTTTATATCGAATTGGGGTAACTTTTTTGTCACTTCTGCGTTGCCCAAGGTCATGTAAACAGGTTTTATTATACAATGTCTTGACATAATCAAAATCAATTTATGCATATGGAGCACGGCTATAATTATCCAACCATTGACAGATATTCGGCTAATTTATTTCTGTATGGGGGAAGATAATTGGCCACGCAACGAACCAATCAGTGAATGCCCTTGACTAACCACCTGACGCCATGGCTTGATGTAGATGTATGAGAGCTAGACCAATGGGTATTAACAAGTAGTGGACAATCAATGTACTAGTACTTCTCAAGGTGAAGTTGAGGGTGAAATAGAATCTACTTAACAAGTAAGAATAGAGTTAGATAACGGAAGTGATATGACATGTTGAATGAAAGAATAAAACAGATGGTTATGATTGATCAATTGGATTATACCAGTTATCGTCATGTAGGCGAGTACAAATCCCTAAACCATACCTTTCGATTGATGCGCTTGGAACAATTTGCCCAAACGCCGAAATTTTTAGTCGAAACTAATTACGTCAATGTTGCTCAGTAGAAATTTCGAGTAAATTTAGGGAATTATTTACTAGCCGCATAGTAACGACATAATATTGATATTGCAATTCTGATATGCGATGCTGCTTAATTCAGCACTTCCATTATAATTATTTAAAAGGTTATTGCATTAAATTAATAGTAGGGATTAGTATTAAAAGATGAAATGATAATTATTGCAAGTGAGAATTGAGCAAAAGTAAGAAACTAAATGGAATCCACTTTCGGCTCAATGTTTTAACACTGATTGAATTCCCTTGTTTTGCGCGTTATAGGAGCACGAAGATATGAGAAATGCTTGAAGAAAATGTTCCGAATAAATTTCTATTACCTTCCATCAATCATCTATTGCGGCATCGTTCCTTGGTTTTCCCTGGTGAGTGATCATTTACTTGCCTACTAAAAAAGCTTTGAGCAATTAATTCGTTCAATGAGACTACAATTTTGTGGTTTATTTCGAGTTTCTTTGTCATTATTGATTTTCTTTGGAAACACAAAGAGATGTGAAGATGAAATATTGCGGTCAATGAGCTTGTATAGGGATAAAAATAGTATTCGAATAAACGGGACTTCTATTTTTATTTATTGAGAGTCGTTTATTTTGGTTCAAGACAGAAACATGTTTAAAAAGTTTAAAATTTTTTAAATTTCATAAACTTGAAGGACCGAGTGGGGTGATTACTGAATGCAAAGTTGCAAAGAGGCGTGATTCTTGACTATGGTGGTTCAATGGGATTTAGTAAAGCGAAGTATAGAGTATGAATACGCTACCAAGCGGGGAAGGCAGTTGAAACTGCAGATGGAAGGCTATTGGCCGAACGCCCCGAGTGAAGTAGTTAGAAGGAAGGATTTGGAAAGAAGATGTTTGTTTTATTTATAGCAAATTGCAGACCTACTGATAATTATCATTAGTCCCTTTGTTGACTTCGGGCTTCACAGAGAGGAGAAACAGACAAAGTCAAAAAAGTGGAGAGGAGAGGGGGGAGCAGAAGAGTGATTTGCAGATGCAAAAGAGCCGATAGAAACAAAGGTGGAGAAAAGGTAAGGTGAAGTGAGTGTTGTGAAAGTGGTGGAATATGACATATAGCCACAGGCGAATTGCAGGCTTATAGACCTTTTTACCGCATGGGAATACGTTTCCTAGGGTGCACCACGCGGACGTGAGCCTATCAATTACAATGGAAAGAAGACGTAAGGATGCTGATACGAACTGGCATATTGAGAGCGATTCTGAAAACGACATTTTTGACCAATCAAACAACAAAATTTTATCGATATATCATAATTTTTCCCTTCCGACTGAAGTATTTTTTAAAATGGCAGGCTTTATTATATTTATCATTAGCCCCTTAGTTGACTTCAGCTTCCCCATGTGTGGGGGTGGGGGGTACATATTACAGCCCATGGGTGGGGGGTACATATATAGCAGTTAATTAATAGCAGACATTAGCAGTCTTCTTGCTTCCCAGTATCTTTGGCTTTCCTGTAGCTGTCTTCTTGCTTCCCAGTATCTCTGGCTTTCCGGAGTAGCTGTCTTCTTGCTTCCCAGTATCTCTGGCTTTCCGTAGCTGTCTTCTTGCTTCCCAGTATCTTTGGCTTTCCGTAAGCTGTCTTCTTGCTTCCCAGTATCTCTGGCTTTCCGTCGTTAGGGCTGGACATCGAATCAGGTGGGTCTTCTCCATTTCAGCTGGACATCGAATCAGGTGGGTCTTCTCCATTTCCTCCTCCTTCCCAGTATCTCTGGCTTTCCGTCCTTGTCTTTAGAGTGGGACACCGAATCAGGTGGGTCTTCTCCATTTCCTCTTGATGAACACCGAATCAGGTGGGTCTTCTCCATTTCCTCCTGTATATATCTTTGGCTTTCCGTCCTTGTCTTTAGAGCTGGACACCAAATCAGGTGGGTCTTCTCCATTTCCTCCTGTAGGTTACATTCTTGGCTTTCCGTCCTTGTCTTTAGAGCTGGACACCGAATCAGGTGCCCTATCGTTGTCTTTAGGGCTGGACACCGAATCAGGGGGGGCCATTTCCTCCTGTAGGTTACATAGGGGGCATGTGGGTTTCTTGTCTCTAGGGCTGGACACCGAATCAGGTGGGTCTTCTCCGTCTGAACACCGAATCAGGTGGGTCTTCTCCATTTCCTCCTGTATAAGTATCTCTGGCTTTCCGTCGTTTTTAGGGCTGGACATCGAATCAGGTGGGTCTTCTCCATTTCAACGTTGTCTTTAGAGCTGGACACCGAATCAGGTGGGTCATCACCATTTCCTCCGCTAGACACCGAATCAGGTGGGTCTTCTCCATTTCCTCCTTTGAACACCGAATCAGGTGGGTCTTCTCCATTTTCTCCTGTAGATACATAGAGGGCATGTGGGTTGAGTGTATACTTCCAATCTATGAGGAGCCAGTGTATACTCCCAATCTTTGAAGGTGTTTTGCCAGGCAATCCGTCCGGTACGTAGTCTAAACTCAGCAACGGCTTCGATTCTTGGCCAAAGTTAAACTCAGCAACGGCTTCGATTCTTGGCCAGTCGGCAACGGCTTCGATTCCTGGCCAGTCGGTTATATCGGAGAGTGCCAACTGTCCTTTGTTCGAGCTTTAAGTTCGTTGAACCTTGAGGTCTTGAATTCTCTCCTGATTGGCGCCTTTATTGTGTGGAAAGACATCGGGCGGTCTATGCCTTGAAAAATCGTTGTCCCCTTCTTAGCAAGTGCGTCAGCAAGCTCCCGGGTGAAGTATTACAAATTGTTATTTTGGTTTTTAGACTCTCTTCGTCTTCAGTGTGGTAGTCTATGGTCAGCTGAAATATAAGCACTCTTCGGGAGTCTATGAATTCCCCCACTATTCCGTTGTGATGGGGTGGTTGCTAGCTTCCTGTAGTGTCGCCTGCATTCCTATTGTTGCCCTCTATCGGATTATTAAGGCTGAGGGTACACTTTGGCAGGTAATACTGAAATAAAAAATATTTTTTTTCGCAAAAAAGTATATTTTTTCCCAATAACTTATCTCAATTTTCAGCGATTGAAAGACCTCTGTCAGCCAAATCTTACAACGGCAGCTTTGATGAACCTTGAGGCATTTGACGAATTAGCACCAAGTAAGTAGGGCACATTAGCCAATTAAAAATGTCATTCTTGTTTAAATTTCGGGCTCATTTTCACAAGGTAGCTACTTAACTTTCGGAACAGAAAAAGCAAAAATAACTTTAGTAATTTTCACTCTATGGTTTTTTTTCTAGAAAGGTGGTTTGTGCTGTAGTGGTTTATGAAGTCTAGACATCACTTATCTGGATCATATAAATTTTCAATGCATAGGGTTAAATCACGCTTTTCATAAATAACTACTCATTTGAGTGGCATATATTGCGTTCATTTTGTTGAAATTTAGTGTTTTCAAACCAGTCGTGATTGTATGTGCATTATCTCAAATTAGAAACAACGAATTTAAAGAGAGGTTATTTTATTATGAGACAGGATTAATTGGTTTGTCGAAATGGCGTATAGTCTTCATCGTGCATTCTCTTTCTCGCCTCACAGCTCAACCTCGAACTATGAGAAAATAAATTAAAATAAAATTTATTTTAATAATACAGCTAATCAAGAGTATAGTTAAAATATGAGTTGATAATCGTATTTCAATAATTTTTCAGTGGCTAGATAATGGAAATATTCATATATTTGTGGAGAAGAATATTGCCATGGTAAAATAGCCGTGATTTTAGACCAAAAAGAAGAAAAACAGAAAACCACAAGAGAAAAGCCCAATGCTTTCCATAGTGTCCAGGGATGGCACGTTTGCTGAAATTTACGCCTTTGTTTTACTGTACTACCTGACGAAAAGGAGGCTTTTTTAAAACATTGTCCTAAGATACCATTCTACTAAAATAAAAGTTTCTTCAGTTTGCTTAGATTCGTGAATGAATAGTTTGAAGAAAATTAAGCTTTTTATCCAGTCTAAATCTCCCGTCAATTCATTTTATCCCATTAAAGTGCGTGTACCTTAAGAATCAATGCTGTCAGCAATCCAGGTATCACAATCCAAATTTCGGCGTGTAATTGGGAGTCGCAAATAATCAATAAAACTACATCGCTTTTCACTTCCATGTGCTTACTTACCTTAAGAAATGGATTTTGAAATTCACTTCCCAACTGAAGTCAGGATTTGTTTGAATTAAACGTAGATGCAAATGTTATCTAAAGGTTATGACAATTCTGAAGGAATTTTAATAAGCAAGTACAGAATATTTAATCCAATTAAACCTGATTAAAGCATAGTTAAATCTATATTATTTCTACCTGATTTTAGAGACAGGTAATAGCGTTGATCAGGAGCTCTGTGTGACAACTGAGATTGAAGTCAGCAATACCAAGTTACCCGACAGCTGTCCACTCAAAATGACCGATTCCGGTACAAAATCGTCTTAGTTTTCAACCACGTCTGCTCACTCCCCCACCCCCTCATAAACAACACCGCATATTTGGAACAATACATCATTCACTTTTTAGATATTCAACCCAATTTCGTCTCCATGCCTACAAGTAGAGTTTACGATTGTAAAGTTGGATTATATTGACTGTCATCACATAACACAAAATTCATCCATATTTGAGATTGTGTAACATTTTTCGCCTCCGATAATATTTTGCTTTACCTTACTCTTACAAATAAAAGAACGTAAAGTGGAAGTAAAATATGAGGTGTTTTGTTTTCATATTTTTATGGAATTTGTTGAGAGTAATTCACGGTCTGTCAGGCTTGAGTTCACTTCAACTTCACTGTACCACTTCCTGAATACCTATTTTAAGAATTGTCCGAAAAGGCGTTAGATTGGTGAGATCATGGCCAAATGTTAATGATTTAGGAAATAGTGAAAATCGATAAAGAGTTTAAAGTTCAAATGAAACAGCTTGTACACACACACACGTGAGTCAGGCAAAAATTGAAATGCTTATCCAGACGGCATTATCCAATGACCTTGAGGCACGTTTTGGTTTCCTCTAATATACTTAAATTGAAAAGGACGACGAGAAAGGAAAACACAGCTGTTTTCGTTGTGTAATTAAAAGAAAATGTCATAAATATATTTATATCAAATGGCAGCGTTTTGATATTTATCAATAGCCCTTTAATTGACTTCGGGCTTCACAGAGGGGATGTGGTGCGTCAAAGTGAAAAAGTCGTGAGGGGGGGGGGGAACAGAAGAGTGTTTCAAAATTATAAAAGAGACAGATACAAAGGTCGAGAGTAGGGTAAGGCGAGTACTGTGAAAGTAGCGGAATAAGACATAGAGTGGGGTCACGGTAGTTTGAAGTGAGAAGTCAACTGCCAGTTAATAGACTTTTTTTGCCTTATGAATATACGTTGCCCAGGGTGCACCACGTGGAGGTAAGTCTATCGCACACCCCATGTCATTAATATAGCAACCAAGAGTTGTTTGTCAACGAAATGTCCTAATCAAAGGGCGATAAACTTTCCTGGCATTAGAATTTAGAGAATAAAACCAGACGGAGGAACAAATGGTTTATTTAAGTATTGAAAAAAAGTTGCAATGTGCCATACTTCTCATTACCATTCTGCATGGTAAGAGCTGATTCCTTGAAAATTTAGTTTATTTTTAATTTTGATGGTATAGCCTATATGTCGAAATTTTTTCCAAATGGCCCATTAGCCCATTAGCTGACTTCGGGCTTCACAGTAGGGAG